CTGTCCCCAGCCTTCTTTCTCTCTTGGGTGGTCCCACTTGGCTTCTTTGAACCCCTTTACTGCACTGAGAATGCAGACAGGCACCGGACCCAGGGCTGGCCAGGAGGAGATGAGTCTGGGGCGTGCATAGAGTGGAAGTAGGAGGATGCTTCTCAGAGGGTCACTGGCGCCGGACTCATCCTTCGTGCCCTCCACCCACGGCTCAGCCCTGAAACATTAGGTCCTATGATAGGTCCAGTGATGATAGGACCTGCCATGTTTGTTTTCCTTCTCTGAGAGATCATATAGAAGGAATCCTCTTTTCTAACAGCTGAATACAGGTTTTTAATATCTTTTGTCCAGTGTTATACTTCTAAAGTAGAAGGCTAAACCTGGTCCTGGTTATCCTCGTTACTCCATCACAGCAGGAAGGAGAAGCCCCTCCTCCAACCCATGCCTGTCTTTTGCCCCTCCTCCTCCACTTGGAAACTTTTGGCCCATCTGGGTGTTGACTCTGATGCAAGTCAGGGGTGCCTGCATCGGCGTCTGTGCGTGTGGTTGTGGTTTGCGTGTTTGTGTAGTGTCTGGTTATGCAAGAGTCCCTAAGGTGGAAGTGGGGTGTGGGAATGGAGTGCAGGGGAAGTGGAGGTGTAAGGGAAGTGAAGAGGTGTGACATAGCTGCTTAGGAAGGGCAGAGTTCTTCCTAGCGACTGGGAAGTGTCATTTGGGGTTCTGGCAGCATTAAGAGCTCCCCTCCCCCACCCCCTGGATGGTAATCCTGAATTTAAGTGAGACCAGCTGGTGTGGTTTTGTTCAGCTGAGCATGGGCAGGGCAGGAAGACTGAGAGTTTGCTATTTTCCGTCCTGAGAAGCCGCTCTGCCTCCTCAGGAGCTCCATCCGTACCCTGTCCTCCTTCCTAGCTCCTTCCCAGGGTCCTCAAGGTTTTGTAAGCACCCTCGCAGGGGTGGTCAGGTCCCATCAGGGTTGTCTGGGCATGTGTGTGCAGGCGTGTGTAGGTGTGTATGTGGGTGTGTGAGTGGGTGGAGGCTTGTGTGTTTCATAGGTTTCAGAAATTTTGAGGAAGAAGAAAGCAGAAGACATCTGACGTCTCTTGTGACATCACGACGAGCAAGAAACTAAGAAATGTCTCAGGCTCTTGCAGGGAAGAAGAGATGGGCAGTAATAGATTGGGGCAGGTGAGGAAGGACCGTGGAGGGTTTGGTGTTGAGTGAGGTGGCCCAGATGGTGTCTGTGCATCCTCAAGACCTGGGAGGAGGAAGGCTCCATCTGTGGTGGCTGGATCCACAAAGCTTATCCGCCAGAATCACTTGAAGAGCTTAACACAGTCTAGTTGGGCATCAGCCCAGTAGCAGCCAATACAATCACACAGAATCTACAGCAGCACTGCAGGGATGAGTGACAGTGGCAGAGGAGATCCATGCCAGGTGAAGAGGGCACAGGCCCAGGCTCCCCAGACTCCCAACATGGCCTTCTCCCCCCTCATCGGCCATGTCCCTGGGGAGATGAGAGGGGTATGGGACTTATGCTGGCCCATATCTCCTTTCTCAGGACCTGGGGTAGGATGGCCATTCATGAATGGAGGAATAAGAAGACCTGGTGAGATAAGCTTAGCCTGGCTCTTAGCTGGGCAGGAACACAGGACACCAGGGCATTGAGGACCCCACTCCCACCTATGGCCAGTACCAACTTGACCCGGCGCCTGCCTGTCCAGAGCCGACCAGGAAGATGGCACTGGCGTGGGATTGGCTCCCTATGGCCCTGCTGGCCCCCACTGGTCCTCAATGTCACCAGTGGCATTGGCCCCTAACAAGAGAGCCCGCCTATCCTTTGAAGCATTGAAGCTTCAAATAAAAGGCATCTTCTTCCAATAAAAGGCTGTTCTGTCTACACTGAATATCCATGTTTAGCAGCTACTCAGGGAAGCAGCCCCTTCATTAACCGTCCTGGCTGGATCTTCTGGATAACTTTGTGTAGCTTCTCCATCAGCACTTGCTGCTTCACCTTGCTCTTTATGTTACAGAGATGACTTCTTTCCACTCAGTTTTTCACCCTCATCACTAGGGATCAAATACTGGATGTTCAGTTATGTTGGAATTTCAGATTATGATGAAGGACTTTTAAAAAGTGTGCTCTTTACTGTCCTTTCCCTCACCATCTTTCCTCTTCCTCATCCCTCCTGGCCTTTCCCAAGAGCACCCTGCGTCTCCCTCCGTTGCATGGTGTTCCACAGGCCGTCATGTACCCACTGTAGTGCCCCAAAGACCAAGGGCCCTTCTGTTTAACAGAATTCATTTCCTCGAGTTATAAAAGTTATTAAAACATTATTTTAGGCAGATAGGAAAAGGGGTCCTTGGGAAGTTTTTGTTCCTTTTAAAGCAGCTCCAAAAAATGTTTCTTGTCTAGCAGGAAAGCCCCAGCTCTTGGAGTCAGATCTGCAACCTTTGATATGCAAATGGAGGCCATTAGAAACTGGGTCCACTCAACGCGGGGATTCCCACCATCTTTTCCTTGCTCCCATATGTGCCTGGCAACATGGCCGCCCCCACATAGCCCCACATGTGTAGAACATCTTGGTGCCCTACATTTGCATATTAAAAAAACTAGGGTGAAAGGGCCAGGTTTTTCAGGGGTTACATGAATGACATGCCTGGTCAGAACAGTGCCCTGAGCCCTATGCAAATAAGACACTGCCTCCTCCAGCCTCCTTATAGAACTGGCTGATTTCCAAGGCACTCAGGGTTTCTTCTCTCAACTTTGGAATCCCCCCTCCCTCTGTCTCTGTACAGAGGAGCTTCTTCCTTCTTTCTTGCCTGTTAAACTCCACTCTTTAAAACCACTCCATGTGTTTCCATGTCGTTTTATTGGTGCAAGACTAAGGACCCTGGTGTTCCTCCAGTCATCGGAGCCATATCACTTATAATATATGCAATCTTTTCCCCTTTAACAATGTCTGGATATTTTGGAATTAATCTCTCAGACGTCTTTCTAATACATGTTGTTCATTATGCCATCTTGTTCGTTATGAACAGAGGATTCTACTTTATGATGTACTAAAATGTTGTTATGAATTTCAGCACTATTGAACATTTAAGTTGTTTATCATTTTCTTTGACCACCAACATTGTTGTAATGAACAGGGATTTAAGAGCAAAAATAACAAGAACAGTTGCTTTAGCACTTATTAAAACATATCATAAAGCTACAACAATCAAAACGGTGGATGCCATACAGAGAACAAGGTAACAAAACAGGAAGCCTACGAATTGATACAGTATATATACAAAGATTTCCTATATCACAAAAGTGACACTTTAGATACACAGAAAAATAATTTCAACAAATACCAAAGGCACCTCTAACATCCATCCATTCAAAAATAATTAAAATTTTACATGAAAAATTTGAAACACAAACAGAACTAGAAAAACATATATAAATTACAACAAACGCTGCTTTGCAGTGGGAAGACCTTTGTAAATTTGGCAGTAAAAGTGAAGAAGGAGTTTACTAGGGAGCTCTTTGACATCACAGAAGCATTCACATTTGTATACCAAAAAGCCTCATATACAACATTATAAGACAAACCCACAGATTTGGGGGAAAAACACTCCACCATCTGGCCATATGTAAATTGTTGAAAAAACTTAATGAGAAAATGATAGCACCCAACAGAACAAAGACCGTAATGGACTTAGCCCAGTTAAAAAATACTAACCAATGCCTAAGACACCTATAAAGATATGTGCAAACTGGATAATTAAAATAATGCAAATTAAAGCAATTTAATGCCATTATTTTTCATGTATCTGAAAAGGAAAGATTTAAAAGAACCATAATCGCCGATGCAGGCCCAGGCATAGACCAGCAGCCCCTCATCTGTGGCCCGTGGAAGTGAGGGTTACAGGGTCTGTCTGAAAGAGTGGCCACTTGCACTGCAAGCCTGAAAGCATATATGCCTTTAGGAGAATTTCCCCTTGTTTAGCAGTTTTCCCCCACTTTTCTGCAGTAGATGTGGGTTCTGGACTCCCCTCCTGATGTTCTCCAGGTCTCACAAGCCTGCCCATCACTTGGATCTTAACTTCTCTACATGACATGAGGTCTCAGGGGACTGGAGCCCCACAGACATCACTGAGACAACCAGCAGGGCTCCCCAGAAGCTCCCAAACAGCCTCTCATGTGTGTGCCTTGCACACACACACACACCCCATTACCATGCCCATTTCTCGGAGTGACAGTCGAGGCTAGTCTGAACTCAGAGCCCCACTGAGCACGCCCAGACCTGTGCCACTCTTCCAAGCCCTAACCCCCACAGTGCCCACCTGGTACCTCCCGCCTCTGCATGTATATGACAATCATGTCATGTGCATCAGTGCCTGCCGGGGACAGGCAGCCCACACAAGCCCTAAACACAACCAGACGCGTCTCAATCTGACAAGGCTCAGCTCAGACCTCAACCTCACTCTCATAATAAATCAGTGGCAAAAGAAGGAAGAAACATGGCGGCCGGGCGCGGTGGCTCAAGCCTGTAATCCCAGCACTTTGGGAGGCCGAGGCGGGTGGATCACGAGGTCAAGAGATCGAGACCATCCTGGTCAACATGGTGAAACCCCGTCTCTACTAAAANAAAAAAAAAAAAAAAAAAAGACACGCACGTTTTACACTGAATTAAGACGTGTAAGAAATATTCCCGCTGGGCACGTTAACTCACGCCTGTAATCCCAGCACTTTGAGAGGCCAAGGAGGGTAGATCATGAGGTCAGGTGTTCGAGACCAGCCTGACCAGCATGGTGAAACCCCATCTCTATGAAAAATACAAAAATAAGCCAGGTGTGGTGGTACGCACCTATAATACCAACAACTCAGGAGGCTGAGGCAGGAGAATCTCATGAACCCGGGAGACGGAGGTTGCAGTTAGCCAAGATCATGCCACTGCACTCCAGCCTGGGCAACAGAATGAGACTCTATCTCAAAAAAAAAAAAAAAAAAAAAAAAAGAAACATGGCAAATGCAAGGAAACTCGATAAAAAAGAAAATGAAGGGGAGATGGAATGAGTATGTCTAGAAAGCTCTAATAATTCAGAAGCTAAAAATAACCGGAAAGAAAAAATGTGGGCGTGTACGTGTGTGCGCGTGCATGTGCGTGGGAAGAGAAGTGATTTGCTGAAGGTCAAGGGGGCCGGAGCAAGGCTGACTCCTTTCCCACGCCTGCCTCCGGCTACCTCAACAGGAGACGGCCCCTTGACTTTGCAGAAATGACTGAGGAAGCCCGGGCGGGAGGGAAGGCAAGCCCTCTCGGTCCCCTCGCCTGTCGAGGTCTGAGGGTCTCAGCACACCTCCCCAGGCCTGCTGACCTCCCAAGGGGGCAGCGACAGGTAGTCCTGCTGCTTCAGGGCTTTGAAGAGCTGAATGACGGGCACCTGGGGCATGGCCTGGCCTGGGGGCTTCTTGACTTGCAAAGCCTGGTCTGAGTCCCTGATCTCAGGAGAGGGTCCCGGGGAAGAGGGCTTACTCCGGGGTGAGACAGGGCCAGCCCCCAGGCCGGGGAGGAAGCAATACTCGCCCACCTGCTGCAGGACAAGTAGGCCCTCGGAGTGTGGGGATGTTGGGGATACATCTGCCCGGTGCTCCCCTGGGTTCAGGACAGGGCTGCTGGCCTCCGAGGGGACAAGATTGTTCAATGGGGACCTGGGGGACTGGGCCTCAGTTGGAGGGAGTGCCACATAGCCCTCAAACCCTGACTTCACAGGGCCTGGGGCTCCAGGGTGTCCACTGGCCAGCTCAGGACAGAAGCTGGGGGTCTGGTCTGCAGGGAGGCCCAGAGAGGGAACCTGGGAGACAGGTGAGGCCCCTGACTGTGGGGGGAATACCAGATCTGCAGAGGAGACGTAACCAGAGGCCACTCCAGGGTCCTCAGGGTCCTTAGAGCTTGTGGGCAGAGCCACAGGGCTGTCCTCTCGGTCCTGTCTTCCCACCCTTGTGGTAAGAGCAGGAGGGGCAGGGCCTCCCCCGGACTCCAGGGAGGGGCTCCCCTCAGCCGCCCGGCTCGGCCTCCTCTCCACATCCATCGCCTGGCCCTGCCCGATCGACTGGGCCAGTGGGACCAGCTGCACCTGCCCCCCAGCAGGCAGACATAGGTACTCCAGGGATCCTGGAGGCAGGGGCTTCTGGCTCCCACCTGCCTGGGGGGGCTCCGGCTGGCACAGGCTGTCAGGCAGGGAGTGGCTTTGGGGCGACCCCAAGTAGGGGCCATTGAAGTCGAAGCTGGAAGCCTGCTTCTCAGGCGTGTGGGAGGGGGCAGGTGGGCCTGGCCGGGGGCTGGGGGGCTGTTCTGTGGGCAGGTCTGAGGCAGCTGGAGTCGTGTCAGGCCCAGATGGTGGATCACAGACATGCTTGGGGTCCTCTGTGGTGAGAGGTGACACCTCACTGTCCTTGAATCCTACAAGGAACACTCTGTGGGGAGAATATGGGCGGAAGAGTTGGGACCACCCTGAGCAGATGATTTGGCTCAGGTGCAAGGGTCTTGGCGGGGTGGGGGTAGTTCTCTAGAAGCCCTCATGTGCCCCAGAGCCTGCAGTGAGAACCTAAGCAGGGCAGGGTTGAGGGCTCAGGGACCCCAGAGAAGGACACAGGACATGGATTCAGTCTCTCTGTGGCTCAGGACCTCCGTCCTCTGTGTTGAGCTCAAGGTCTTCCTCTGCAAGGCTGGAGCCCTCTCCCTTTTGACCTTAAAGTCCATCCTCCTTCAGCACCAGGTTCATGCCCAGCCTGTGCACTGGGCAACCCTTCCATCATTCTACCAACCGTGCCACACCCCGCTCCCGACCGAGCCAGCGGTGAGCTGCCGGCTGAGGCGCTGAGGCCCTGGGAGTTTGCAGTCCCAGCTACCCCATGAGGCCTCTGCAGTGTGATGCCTCCCGAGGCAGCAGGGCAGGGGAGGGCCATCTGCTCCCCTCTTCCACCTCTGGTCAAGTCTCTTGTCTGGGCCTCCCTAACCTGGGGAGAGGAAGTTCTTCCTCACATCCACCCCAGGTGCCTCCTGCTTTAGTGCAAACCAGCCTCCTTGGATCTCTTCACAGTGAGCCACAGGGAACCTCACTTGAGTCCCTGATTGGCACCATGGCGTCAGCCCCCTATTTGCTCCCCACAGGTCAGGAGCGATCCACAAGCCCAGACACTCACCCCTCCAGCTCAGAGAAGTGGCTGTTCCACGGCCCCTGCTCTGGGGGGCTCCTGCTGGCGAAGGCCGCCAGGCTGCCTGGAGGCCGCCGCTCTGCAATCCCGTTCTGCAAGAACAGACACATTCCAGCCTGTGGGCATCAGGAGGCCTGGAGGTGGGGCAAGGCAGAGGGTGATGGGGGTACAGGGGATCCAAGGAGCCCCCAGATAAGAGAAGATTCCCCACTTCTTTAGGACTGGCCATGGCCTTTTGACACTGGCAAAGTGAAGCCCAGAGAGGGGCTGGGACTTCCCCCCGGTCCCTGATACCTGAGGACAGGGCGCTGTTCCTGTGATTTTTCTTACCTGGGGTGTCGCTGTCTCCACGCTCACCCCATTTCTTCTCCATACCAGCCAAGAGACCCCTCCACAGGCAAAGCTGGCCGCGGCTGCCTGACCGAAGGGCTCCCACCACCCACATGCTGGTGTTCTCCTCATGGTCATCTCGGCCTCCTGTCCCACCTCCTCAGCTCCCTTCCTGAAGGGTTTCTGTCTCCACCCTCGAGATGCCCTGAGGCTGAGTAACCTTTGCCACCTGGCACCACTGGCACCCTCAAAGCTTAGCCCAGGTGTCCTGTCCTTGGGGAGCCCTTCTGCCTGACACCCATCTGTCTTGGTAGCAGGAACCCCCTCTGTGAGCCCACCCTGTCCCGGGCATCCCCACACTCAGTTCTCTCCATTGGGGTCCATGCAGATCTCTGGCAAGCAGGGCCAGGCGTGGGCAGTCCACGTGCCCAGGGAATCCCAGGAAGGGATTTCCAAGTGCTGGCCCCACTCCCAAAGCCCCTCTCCGGTCCACTTACCTCCTGACCACCCCAAACCCACAGGAAGAGATGGAGGAGCTGGGGACAGAGACAGGAGAGGCAGGAACAGAGAAGCCCCCCACCCCACCCCTCGAAGCCAGTTCCTACCTGGAACAGGTGGCTCTTGCTGGGGTTGGGGATCCTCTCCTCCCACTTTCTGCTCAGCCTGGAAGACACCAGGGAGGTGACAGCCATCAGAGACCTCAGAACCAGCTGCTCCCATGCTCATGCCCAGGGGGGAAGCTGAGGCCCAGGAAGTAGGTGGCAGAGTAGGGCTTGGAGGGAGCTGGGTGGGATTCCCTGGTGCCCTCTGGGGTCTCGGTTACCACTCCAGCCCCACAGAGTCCCCTCACCTGTACCCATAGATGCCACAGAAGCGGAGGGCCACGAGCACAGTGAGGGTAAGGAGCACCACGACGAGCGGCAGCACCCACACGGGCAGCGCTTCCAGCAGCCAGGGAGGAAGAGCAGCATCAGCATCGGGGAGGGGAATGGACCTCGGGGCACGGAGCGGGATTGGCGCAGTATCCCCCCAAGACCCTGCTCCTTGCAGGCCTAGGGCTCTGGAACTTACTGCCTCGGGGGACTAGGGGAGAGAGGCCAGACCCATGCTGAGAAGGGCATTGGCCTGCACCCCCACAATGTTCAAAGAGCTGGGAGCACACAGGAAGGTCAGATCCTTTCCAGTCACAGGAGGTGCTATGGGGAAGGCAAGAACTACAGTTCATGGCAATCACAGGGGACTTCGTGAAGGAGGTGGCATAGTAGCTGGGCCTTGTTAACAGGAAGGACTAGAGAGGTAGAGATGGGGAAAGGCATGCTGGCAGAGGCACCAGCAGGTGCAAAGGCCCATCCGGAGGCCCCGATACCTCCTGTTGCCCAGCCCTGAGCCTCTCGAAGGCCAGGTTCCTCCAGGACTCCCCTCTTCCTCCTCCCTTGGGCCCATTGGTCAAGCCTCTTTTCTGCTTGGTTGGGGCCCTGTCCCTGGGCCCCTGCAGCTACCAAGTCTGGCTGTGGACTTGGGCTGCTCGCAGTATCTCCTGTATCCTCACTCTCTCCGAAAGCATCTGTGGCCTTGTGTTGTTCTACAGGAGTTCCCTGGTGGCCACTATGGTGAAAGGTGAGGGGTAAGTGCACGCAGCAAGAGCAGGGAGGTGGGGAGATGAAGGGATCACAGCAAAACCTTCCAATCCAAAGACCCAGTCTGCGGCTCTAGATTTACTTGCTTCCATGGTGACAGGGAACTCGGAATGAGCAATCACAAAAGCGTGGTAGCCCCCAAAGCTAAGAAACCAAAGGCCATATTAACAAAGGCCTAAGTCCCAGTTTAAAGGAGGAGTGATGGTGAGATCTGTTCTCCTCTGCTCCCTCAAGTCCTCACTTGCAGTCCGTATTACACACCAGGTGTCACTTTCCCAAGGGAGGGAAGGGGGCCTGAGTGGGGTGGGGTCTGGAGCCCCACATCTCTGTACCCACACAGTCTGCATCCTCTGCCTGGCTGTGCTGTCTCATGAAGAGTGGGTGGAGAACTGACTCCATACCCAGGTTCTGCTTTCTTTACCCTTTGCTCTTCCATCGTGCGGGTCTGCCAGCCAGGTGGGAGGTGCTGCCTGCAAAGGCCTTCCCTTTCTCTTTGGCCACCACCTAACTGGGAAGAGGGCTCATCTACAAGTCGTGGCAGGCCTGCTACCGCTGCTGCGTTGGGGATTTTCTGGCAGTGAGAAACTCTGAGCTGGTCCCGGCCAGAAGCTGTGGACTCCGGCCTGCACCTACCCCACTCAGTTTCCCAGGAGCGCTCCTCACTCCACTGGCTCCAGATCCCATCGTAGCCGCTGCGGGAGGTCCTGACCCTAACCCTGGCCCAGTACGTGGTGGAGGGCTCCAGAGCTGGCAGGGCCATGCTGTGGGCATTCTGGAGGGTCTCGGTCTTGCTGTCCTGTGGGTTGGCGCTGAGGGTGAGGCCTGGCCCTGTGGCCCATGGGCGTGGCTGCAAATCCCTCCCACCTGGAACCCCAGTGTTGCGGGCTCCCAGCTCCTGCCCTGCTCAGGCCTGCTGCGGCTTCTCTCTCACCATCATGGAGCCTCCCCAAGGGCCACCCAGGGACAGCACTGCGGATTGGACTGGGGACTCCGCAGCCCCCGACATTGACAGCACTGAGGCCCGGAGTGCTGAAGCCACCTCCCCACCCTCTTTTAAGCCTCCTCAGCTCCCAGCCCTTCTGGGGCAGCCTGCGCCCACACTGTGGCCTTTCCAGGAATGTAGTGCAGGCCGGCTGGACTCTGGACCCCGAGATGGGGATTCAGGAGCCCAGGGCCCACTCCCAGCCCCACCACTGGCCCACCGCTGGCCCACTGCCCTCCTGGCCTCAGTTGCTGCATTTCTAGCCTGAAGGTCTGGGGTTGGTTCTGTGGTTTCTTCTCTGGCCTCTGTGGAGGCAGGGGACTGAGCCCTGGCCTGGCCCCCCGACCCCCGCCACCAACTCAGAAGCAGCTCTGTCTGAGCCTCAGTGTGTGTCCAGATGAGACTCCTCTAAAGAAATACCCCCAGGATTTCATGACTTTTGAAAACCTTCTTCCCAGTGGCCTTTCAACCCCTCCCTGCCCAGAGGGTCCCCTGTTCCCTGGGAACTCAGGTTCAGCTGTTCATTTTGGCCAAGCCACGCCACTTTCCCGAACCTCAGCTACTTCACAAAGAGATGGGACAGTGACCTGCTGACCACACAGCCCAGTGATCACCATGTCCCAGTGGCTCCCTCTCACTGGTCACCTGCCAAAGGCCCAGCGCCTTGCAGATGGAACCCCTCTTGGTTACTTCCCCCTCTCCTGCCCTCCCCAGTGTTTCTCCCCTCCCTGGGCGAAGGCCCTCACCTCCCACGTGGTGGAGTTTTTCCTGTACTGGATCTCGAATGTGTGGTCTATGTGCTCGTATTGCATTTTCATTGCTTTCCAGTGCAGGCTGTAGCTGTCTCCATCCTTGCTGATGGTGAGGGACGGAGGGGCCATCTGGACTGGAGGGAGGGAAACTGTCAGGAGCATCACCCCCCTCCGCAATGGAACATTCCCTGTGTCTCATGCTAGACAGTGGGGCCGTCTCCACTGGCACAAGACCCCGCTTCTTGAGCTCCTGACCTCATGTGATCACCCGCCTTGGCCTCCCAAAGTGCTGGGATTACAGGTGTGAGCCACTGCGCCCAGCCTGATTATGTTTTAGGCGCTGTTACACATGCTTATTCAACAAGAATTATCGTGCTGAATTCTAACAACCCTATACGGCAGGTTCTATTAATCTTCACATTTCACAGACAGGGAAACTGAGTCACAGAACCATTAAGTAACTTACCCTAAGGAAAGGCAGCTAAGCAGTGGCAAAGACAAAGATTACCACCCTCCCCCCCACCCAGTGTGATGGACTCTCGTTTGACACTCCCAGAGGTGTAGGGAATTGGGTAAAGGCTAGGACCGGATCGCACGTTCTCACTGCCAGAAAGTCCCCAATACAGCAGCGGTAGCAGGCCTTCAACAACATCTAGATGAGACCCAATAGAAGGTGGCCAAAGAGAAAGGGGAAGCCCTTTGCAGAAAGCACCTCCCACCTGGCTGGCAGACCCACACATTGAAAGAGGCAAAGGGTAAAGAAAGCAGAAATTGGGCATGGAGTTGGAAGTTCTGAACGCTAATCTTTATCTGCCTACTCATAGCTGTGCAATTTTAAGTAAGTCACTCAACCTCTCTGAGCTTCAGTCTACCCAAACGAAAAATGAGAATGCTTATAACCTTGATGCCTTCACAGCATAAACATAATATGAATGCCCGTAATTTGTTGAGGTCACTTATGTGCCAGGCATTATATGAGACCCTTAATATATTTGTGCATTTGAACAATCAGAATTCCTTTTTCCAGTGAGGATCCCAAGAGAGTTAATGATAAATTCAAACCCAGGTAACTAAGACAAATTGGCCTCTGCTCTTCACATATACTAAAGACTGGACAGAAGAACTTGGTCATCAGGAAGCAACGCGAGAGGTTCCATTGCACTGGGGTCCTTGCTACGTCACAGAAATGAGGGATATTAACCTGGGAGGCTCAACGCTATCTGCATACACCACAGCCCCCAGTTGAAAAGTACATCCTGGATCAGTTACACTGAAGATAGAACATCAGTCGGAGGGGAACTTTGGAAATCAGAAAGAGGAAAATCCGATGAGGAATGAAAGGGCAGGTTTTGGTGGCAGGACCAGGAGGGGGTGGCCAGCAGTGGAGCTTTGGGGAGCTGCAGGGTAGGAGAGGGAAGCAGGAAAGTGGACAAGAGATCAGAGGTTTCAAAGGCCTGCTTTCAGCCACTGCCTTTGTTGTTTCATTGCTTCTCTGTTGAAAGTGACAAACATGAAGACTGAGCCAGGAGGAGCCCTGAGCTGATTCGGGTTACACAATGAGGGCGTGCTGGTCCCAGACCATCCCCACAGAGGGCTGGGAGTAAACTCACTGTGCTCTGAGCTCTTTATGTGTTTCTCTGGCCTCCTTGGCTGAACGGAGACGATGTACCGGCCGCGGGTGCTGGGGTCGGGCACGGGAATCCCACAGTGGTGTCTGATGTGGAGGCTGCCGAACTCCTCCCTCAGCACTGGGGAGCACTCTTTCTCCCTGAGGAGCACGGCAGAGCTGAGGGAAGGGGGAGGGAGGGCCCATGGGAGGGAGGAGAGTAGGGGGTAGGCTGGGGCACCAGGGACAGGAGGAAACCTGGAGAGAGCAAGGCCAAGAGGAGGAGAGGGGACGGAGAAAGGAGATGCTCACCCTGCCTCTGGGCTGGGCTTGTAGAAGAGGCCAAAGGAGACGGAGCTGACCACCTCCCGCCTCACCTCCCAGGAGCAGCTGAGCACGGCGGCCCCGTCGAAGAAGCACTGCAGGTTCTGGGGCTGGGCCTCATCCCCTGGGAGGGAGACAGGTCCTCATGTGCTCCCCCTCCACCCCTCCCAGAGCTCTCAGCGGGTGCCCACCGTGCAATTCATCACCCAGAGGTCATGGGCTCTGGGGCCAAAAGACCAGGGCCGAGACTTCAGCCTGAACCTGCCAGCTGTGTGCCCAACAGCTCTGAGAGAGAGATCTGTGCCCTGCACACCCTCCCGGGAGGATGGAAATAGCATCTAAGTCTCAGTGTTTGGGGACTGAACAGAATAACCTGGGTACGCCCTGCACACCCTGCAGCCTCCGTTAACACACAGCTGCTGATAGCGCTGTTGTTGTTATTATTACAATTGCCACTGGCAAAGGGCGAGCAGAAAACTGGAAGCCCAAAGTAAGCAGATCCAGAGTCCCACCAGGCAGCGGTCACAGTAGAGGTGGGACGGCCCAGGGACGCTACTGGATAAATGGCAACAGGAGATCCGGGAAGCCCCCACGTGGAGCCCAGGACCCCTGCTGTGCCAGGAGCCCCTGACGAGCCTGCCCTTCCACCATGGGGCATTTCCTGGGCTCTGGCTCCATTACCTGGCTGGGAGTCCCACTGAAACTCTGGGCTCCACTTGCTGGGACGTCCTGAGAGCCGAGAACCTGGGGCCAGGCGGGTCCGCACTCGGGCCACATAGGTGCTGCTGGGCATGAGGTGCTCTGGCCCCAGGGTGGCCTGGGAGGCATTGGAGAGGAGAGTGGCCGCGTCCTGTCGGAGACAGTGGGAGCTGGAGGAGGGTGCTATCCCGTCCCTTTGGGCTGGGGCAGCGCTGGCTGTGGTTCCTACCTCCCAAGAGTCCTGGAGCCGTTTATAGACCACCTCAAACTCCAGGTCCCCCTGGGACAGCCACTGGCTCTGGGGGCCCCCCAGGGCCACGCTCCAGGTTAGCAGGAAGTGGTCCTGGTGACTGCTGATCTGCAGGTCCTTAGGCGCAGGAGGCTGGACTGGAGGGAGGAAGTGAACGTCACCTCAGGCTGGACGGCTGGGGCAGTCAGGGCCTGCGTGGCCTTTTGTGTGGACACGGGGTTCCAGGCCACCCCTGCCCCATCAGGTGAGGGACCTTGAGCAAGACCCATCTCCTCTGCGGGCCTCAGCCCTTCAGCTGCAAAACTGTAGGGTTTCAACGTGAAAGCCATGGAAAGCCATGCCTCCCACTGCATCGCCCCAGAAGCCTTCCTGGCTGCCAGGCTGTCATCTCCAAGGTCAGGGTTGCTGAGCGGTGTGTTGACCACTTTGTTGGTATACGTAGGTGCTCAAGGAAAGAAGGCTGAATGAATGAATCGTGTGTATATCCTAAGTAGGATTTCCATGCCCCCATGTCCCCATCCCCCGGCCAGTGTGGCCTTGTCATTTCTAAGGATGAGCGTTTAGGTCACATTCTGGGCTTCAACATCTTCCCTAACTCCTGCTCCTCCAATCCACCCTGTAAGTCCCTGTCCCTAGCATTCGCACCCCCACATCTGATCATGTCACTCCCTCAGTGCTCTCCATGCCTAGAGGACACATGCAGTCTCCCCTCTGCCCTGAGACTGCAGGACACAGCAGCCTCTCCAGGGCCAGCCCCTGCCTGTGTCTCCTGCTTCTCCCCACTGCTGTCTAGCCCTTGAAGTGGATGCTCCCTGGACACAGTGGTGAGCGAGTTCCCCTGCTGCCCATGCCTTCCTGATCCCCCAGCCTCTGCATAGCTCTTACCCTGTCAGGGAGGCTCTTCCCGCCCTCCCCTCCTGTCTACCCTTCAGATCTGAGGTGCAAAGCTCCTCCCTCTGGGAAGCCTGTCCTGATCTCCTGGGGGCCTTGCTCTCTGTCCCCTGCATGAGGCACCCACCCGCCGCTGTCAGTAAGTTCTCACGGGGGACAACATCCAATGTTTCCCCTCCCTCCAGCCTGGGCTCTCTGAGCTCTACTTGGGAAGGAAGGGACTCTCATATCCATCAAACCCATGTGTGGAAATATTGCTTCAGATGGATTCCTGGTGGTCCAACCCATCCCCTGCTCTGGAAGCTGCTTAATGATGCTGTGGCAGAAAGGGGCAGGAAGCCTTGGCCAGAGCCCCTCCGGTGTGACCCTTGCCAAGAGAACCAAGTGGCCCAGTGGTTAGGACTAGAGACTCGGACTGTCCTGGGCCGGATCTCAGCTCTGCCAGCAGCAGCAGAGAGGCCCTGGACTAGTCACCTCCTTCTCTGTTCATTTCAGCAGCAGCCACAGACACCAGTAACAGCACCAAGCCTGCTGTGGCTCTGCGTGCGTCTCTAGTGACAGCCTGCAGGGCCTCCCACCAGCCTGCCACTGGGGTGGGCTTTTGCCACATCAACGAAAACTTTCATAAAACGCCTCCCCTTCTACGTGTAGTTTTCATTCTACAATTCAACCGTTTCCTTGAATGCAGGACTTTGAAGTGCACGTTATATTTCTTTCTTATACAGAGTCAAATAAAACCTCAAGATGTAAAATCATCATCCACCCCTCCCTAGACCACGGACAACTTCATGGGCACTGTGAACTCGCAGCCCACCCTGGAGCCCCTCCTCTAGGGCAGTAAGGAGACGAGCTCCTTGTCTACAGGGCAGAGCGCCCCTGGGAAGACTGACCCGACTCTGTCATTACTGCTCAGTGTGGACTTCAGAGGAGGCATCTGACCTCCTGGGCCTCAACGGCCACATCCAGGAAATGGGTTGCTGCAGAAATGAGATGAAGCAACTAAGTTGAAAGAGTTTTGAACCAGGTGGGTTTCTAACAGGGTGGCTAGAGGGGTTTTCTTTAAGGGCAGCCTGCAGAGCTGGAAGCGCATGGCTTGGTGGGAGGTGGGCGCAGCCAGGGGCAGGGGAGCTGCCTTTGTCAGGAGCCCCTCACACAGTCCCTGCACTGATGCCTCCCTGTAAGCAGACCACACCCTCATCCCTCAAGAGACCCTCACCCAACCCGAAGCCACAGTCTCCCACCTTCAAGACTACCCTGGCCAACCCTGGTATCCCCCATCCACACAGGAAACCAAGCCTAGGGCAGGGCCTCCAGCCACTCACCATGCTGGGTCAGAGTGACGGTGAGCTGGGTGCCCAGAAGCCTGTCTGGTTCGAATGAGAAGCGGTCAGTGTCAGAGCTGACAAAACTCTGGTAGGGAATGACACATTTCCTGGGCACGCAGTGGGGATGCGGGCAGGCTGACCAGGGCATGTCATCGCTGAGGTCGCAGGACACTGGCTCCGAGGGGTCCCTGCTGGGAGAGGACATGGCTTAGCGCAAGGTGCGTAGGGACTGCTCACTCATCAAAGGTGCATTGAGTGCTCACCACATGCCTGGCTCTGTCCAGAATCAGGGACCAGGCAGAGACAAAACACACGCAAATCCTGCCCACAGAGCTGCCATCCCTGGAGAAGGGGACCTGCATGGAACAAAGTGTATAGCGTGTGCAGCAGAGAGAACTTCATGTGGATAAATAAAGCAAGAAGCGGGTGAGGCAGGAGGAAGGGCTGGGATGAGGATGCAATTTGAAATATGGGACAAGCAGGCCTCTCTCAGGAGGTGACCTGTGGGCAAAATGCTAAGGCGATGAGGGAGGGACTATGCAAATCGTAAGGATTTCAGGAAACGGAACAGCACGTGCAAAGGCCCTGGGGCAGGCAGAGTTTCTGTGTTGCATGGCTTGGCCTGAAACCAGTGTGTGAGTAGAGCATGGGACAGGGAGGTCGAGGAGACCCATCCATCAACGTGACGGGATTGGATCTCACTGCGAGTGAGTGGGCAACAGTAATGAGTAAAGGCATTGTAGATTTTGATGAATGCTTTGAAAGGATTCCTGAGGGTCATCGGTTGTGAACAGATCGAGGTGGGAGTGCGGCCATGTGGGAAGCAGGGAGACCAGTTAGGCGGCTTCTGGAATACCCAGGTGACAGGAAGTGCTGTGCACCAGGGCAGTGGGGCTGGCATGGGCGAGGTTCAAGTTCTGTTTGAGGTAATGTTGGTGGTGTTTGCTGGTGGGTCGGACGCTGCAGTTGGGAAGGAATGGTGGCACAAGCGCCTTAAAAACAAGACAAAATCCTCCCAGTTGTTTAGCTAGAGCCACTAGGAGCTCCCATGTGGCAAAGGGAGGTGGGGAGGACGGAGGCAGCAGCGCCCTGGGTGAGGGCGGGACTTTGGCTGAGGACGTTTGGAGTTGGAGTTGCCTGTTGTCTAAGTGACAGTGGGGAGGCCAGTGCACCTGGAGGGCTGGAGCTTAGGGGAGGTGTGGGCTCAAGGTCACCTTTGGGAGATGCCCCCGTGGCCGCAGGGGATCTCTGTGGGGTGGATGCAGCAGAGAGGAGGTCCACGGACCTGCTCTGGGGTGTCTCATCCTTGGCAGCCAAGAGAACCAAAAGACAGCAGACAAGGAGAAAAGGGAGGATGGGCAGGGCCCCGGGGGTGCTGGGTGAGCTGTGGGCAGAGCCAGGTGCAGGAGGCCAGGTGGTCCTCCTTGTCAGGGGCCGCCCTCGGGTCAAGTAAGAAGAGGGTGGAGTCCCGACCGTGAGATGGTGCTCCCTGGGACAGTGCTGACTTGGACCAGAGCAGTTTGGGTGGCCTGGTGGGGGCGGCCTCCTAGGGGATGGGCTCAGGAGGAAATGGCTGGAAAGACACTGGGTGTGGTGAGTGTGGACAACTCTTTATGGGCCACTGCTGTCAAGGGAAGCAGAGAAAAGGGGGCTGCAGGGCTTTGGGGTCAGGAGACACCCGGGTGCTGTACTCCTGTGCGCACCTATGAGGGGGTCAAGGCAGGTTTGCAAGGCAATTGGGAAGGATCCCAGGGTGGGGCACGGTGGGTGGCACAGGGCGGAGTGGGGACTTGGGGCCCCTGATGTTCCTGAGCAGCAGGACCAGACAGGATCCCGGCTCAGAACCAGGCCCAGGCCCCAGCGGTCGGCAGAGGGGGTGGTGAGTGTGAGTGTGGGTGGGCGGGGAGCTTCTCCTGGTCCGCTGTGTGTCACAGCAGCAGGAAGCAGGTCACAGCGAGAGGCAGGATGGTCTTTGAGTAAAATGGAGAAGGCCCGATGGAGGCACCCTGGGGAACTGAAGACGGTGGAGGGGTGTGGGGTGGCAGAGCTGGGCCAGTCGGTTGTCACCTGCCTCTCTGGTTCCAGCTGTTTAATTATTTCATTTAAGGCTAATTTAGATCCTGGCCAACACCCCAGAGCGATGCTGGTCTCCTTCCCGTGTGACACGTGCCCAGGAGAGCTTGGGTAGAGGGGCAGCAGCCCATCCTGTGGCCAGGGCTGGTGCCTCACCTCCGGGGCCTCAGTTTCCCCATCTCTGAACTCGCAGGGCAGCTCCCAGGCCAGTGCCATCTCCCTGGTCAACTCTGGACAGGCAGGTGGTGGCACAGCTGGGGCATTGTGGCCTGGCCCTGCCCACTTCACAGTGAAGAGGGAGTAAGGTCATGTGGGGCAACTGCGTTAAATTGGGAAGGAATAAGAGAAGATTGTCACCACTGTCACCACCACCCTTATCAACAACATCAGCATAGAAGGGCGCTTCCCAGAAACCCCACGTCACATGACAGCACCTGGCCTGGGCAGGTACCTGGAGGGGCAGGACAGGTTCCTCTGTCCTCTGTCTGCTCCCACCCCAAGGCTGAACTGACCTGTCCTTGTCTACACTGCCGTCCCACACCAGGCACAGGGGACACTGTAGCCCCTGCCCATGGACCCTGCGCCCGGCGTTACTCACTGATTCACCCTGCGAATGAGGGTCACATTGACGAGCCGCTGGGCATCCCGCGTGTCCGCCCACCTGCAGGTGATGTGGCTGGTGTAGTCATTGTAGCAGCGAAGCGTCTGCATCGGGACGGTTTCTGACAAGAGGAACAGGAGGGGGTCACCTCTCTCCCCTGCAGGGTCCCTTGTCACCACCACCCCCCTCAGCTTCTCTGGGATGCTCAGCACTGAGGAGGGGGTCTCCCAGGTCCCTGCAGAAGCCCCAAGTGGCCAGGCAGAGGTGCCCTAGGTTGGGAAGGGGGTCTGCCGGGGTGGGCTCCTGGCTGTGGACCCTCTTCTCCTGACAGAAGTGTGCTATTCTGTTAGTTCTCAGCACACTTTCTGGGCCTCTGCTGTGCACTGTTCCTGGGCACGGTCCCCTCCACCATCCCTGGACAGAGACATACACCAGGCACAGCCCTGGCCTAGCCCCACTGTGCAGCCTGGGAGGGGCACACACACAGCTCTGGGCTGCAGCATGGCAGAGTCCTACCCTGCGCCCTCCCCCTGCCCTCTAGTCCCCAGCCTCGGGAGCCTGGTGTTTGTTAAGCAGACTGTGGTCCTAGCATTGCCAAGAAGCCAGGTCTCTGGGAGCCCTTAGGAGGGACCTTTTCACCCCAAGAGCCCGGGAGCATCCCAGCAGGGCCTTCAGGCACAGGAGGGCTCTTGAGGCTGAAGCAGGGAGAGAAGCCCAGGCTGGGGCCCTGCAGGAGCAAAGCCCTGGAGGTGGGAACCACTGAGGCTCGGCGAGTGTCTGCTGGGGAAGGAGGGGCAGGGAGACGGCCAGAGCAGCCAGCCTGGAGCCTGGAGCCTGGAGCCTGGAGCCTGGAGCCTGGAGCCTAGAGCCAGGAGTGCCGGGCTGAGAAATGTGGGCTGGGAAGCCAGACACGCTCAGCTGCACTTTCCAGGACAGGGTGAGCAGGAATGTGCGGGAGGTAGGAAGCAAGGGAGGCCCAGGGAGGGCCAGGGGAGAGACAGAGGGAGGGGAGCAGAGGAGCGCAGGTGGGCAGGGTCCTGGGGACATGCTGCAGGCCTCCCTGAGGGTGCAGCAGTGATGAGGGGCACAGGGAAGGGGTTATAGCCACAGACTCACCTTCTTCCCCTGCCAGGCTGCACCCCCAGCACAGGGCCAGCAGGGCCATGCGGAGCAGCCCCCGGGCCAGCGCCATCTCCCTGGTCAGCCCTGGACAGGCAGGCGCCAGCACAGGTGGGTGCTGGCCATGCGCCGGGCGAGGTCCTCAGTGTCCTGGAGTCCTGTGCTCCTGCCCAGCTGGGAGCCAGGCCAAATCCATTTCACAAGCTCCTGGGACCTCTCCCTCCTGGCCTCTGCCTCCTCCAGGCCTGCAGGAGGAGATGTCAGCAGTGAGCTGCCCCTCCCCCTCCACGTGCCCCAGTGACACCGCCCATGATGTAGGGACAACCCAGAGAGGTGGCCCTCATGCATGGCCCGTCTCCTGGGACATGCAGGTGATGGGCGTGGGCTGCATGGCCTGAGGCACCGTGTCCCCACTTGGGTCACTGACACCTACCACCTCACAATGCGCTAGAGAGCACAGCAGCAGGGCTGGGATTTGACTCCTACTAAGCTCCCCATGGGCTGCTGGTCCCTAGTCGCTCCGGGGAGTCTCTGGGTGTGGGATGCCACAGTGATATTCCCTGGACATGATCACATGTGCACACGCATCCTGGCTTACACACAGCTGTGCTCTCCCCACCCCCGCTCCATTTACCGTCACCTCCCCACCCTCTGCTTGCCGGTTCCCTTTTCTTCTTGGAGGCTGGGGGTTTCCTGCCTTTCATTTCACGGGTCTGGGAAGTACCCAAGAGAGCAGAACAGACGACTGCGGCTGCTTTCCTTCTGTGAGATTGTTGGAAGCTTCACTCAAGATGCACACACACACACACACACACACACACACACCACACATATGTACAACACATATATACAGACACACAAAGATACATATATACACATAAACATGCACACACACATATATACACACAAAGGTACACAGACACAAACACACACATACACAGACACAGGCACAGAGACACACACAGACACATACAGATACATACAATATACACACATATACACACAAACATTCATACACACATACACACAAATACACACACAGAGCCACAGACACAGACACTTATGCACAACACATACAGACATACAGATGCATATTCACACATATATACACAAACATGCACACACATACACAGACACACATACACACACGCACAATACATACATACCTAAACATATATACACATGCATATACCATCTACACACAGACATATGCAAATACAGATACATGCACATACACACACATACACACACACACACACACACACACACACACACACAGAATCTACCAATGGGCATACTGGCTGGGAACAAACTCTACTTGACCCCAGAATGTACTAATATATGATGAAAGAGGAATCAGGAATCAATGTGACATGATGAAATATTCAATTACAAAATGCTAAAATAATTGAGTAACAACATAAAAATGTCCATCTAAAACCCCATTTTACACCATTTCCCAAATAACAGGTTAATTATGCCTTTAAATATAAACAGTTACATTCTAGGAAACCTGCAAACCATAGGCGTGAATGCCTTTGAACTCTTTAAGCTTAAAAGCATAGGTGACATCACAGAGACAAAGGGGCAGCAGGACATAAAAGTGAAATCGTCTGTATTTTGTCAAACTGACTGAAGCATAAAAGCAAAGGACAGAGTACAAACAGAAAACATTTGCACCAACGTATTAATCTGTTAGGACAACTGTAACAACTTGCCATAGAGTGAGTGGCTTACAAGAAACAGAGTTTATTTCTCATCATTCTGAGGCTGGGAAGTTCAAGATCAAGGTGCGGGCAGATTCGATGTCTGGGGAGGGCCTGTTTCTCACCGTCTTCTCACTGTAATCTCACATGGCGGAAGGAGCCAGGGAGCTCGCTGGGGTCTTTACAGGGCGCCAGTCGTGTTCTACAGGCACTACCTCCAGAGGGTCTCACATTGGAGATTAGTTTGTGACATAAACTTAGGAGGACTCGAACATAAAAACCATAGCAACCAGAATTATGGAGGACCGGTTAGTGTCTTTTACCGTAAACGGTTAAAACAAATCAGTTTTATCAAAGAGCACAAACAATATTCACATACGCAGAGAGAATTCATGATGGTGGCTGACAGTATTTCAGTGTTTTCCGTGAGCCAGGCATTATTCAAAAGGCTTTACAGATGCGAATGCTTCTATGTATAGGATACCACTAAAATCTCCACTTTATAGATGAGACAACAAGGGTGGGACGTTATGTAATTGGTCCACAATCACACAGCTGGTAAGGAGCAGGCTGGGATTCAAGCCCATGGCAGGTTACCTTTAGACTCTGTCCCTGACCACTAAGCCTACAGTGGTTCCATTTCCCAAACATCAAAACAGCGCACGTCTATTCTGACATTTACTGACCCAGCAGATGCTTCTACAGACATGCACAGATACAGCAAAAATAAAAGAATACATTAAGACATCTAAATCAGCATTCTCAGGGAGATTTGAGAAATGATAGCCATTTGAGAGAAGACACTTCTATGCAAAGAACAGAGTTCTTGGAATTTGAAGATAGGAGAGCCATCATTTAAAAAAGAATCAATCAAAGGCCGGGTGTGGTGGCTCATGTCTGTAATCCCAGCAGTTTGGGAAGCCAAGGCAGGTGGATCGCTTGAGGTCAGGAGTTTGAGACCAGCCTGGCCAACATGGTGAAACCCTCTCTACTAAAAATACAAAAAAATTAGCTGGCCATGGTGGCGCGTACCTGTAATCCCAGCTATTCTGGAGGCTGAGGGAGGAGCATTGCTTGAACCTGGGAGGCGGAGGTTGCAGTGAGCTGAGATCGTGCCACTGCACTGCAGCCTGGGTGACAAAGAAAGACTCTGTCTCAAAAACAACCAATCAATAATGGGCCAAACCACAGAATGGATACCACACATGTAAAAGATAGATATTGAAAATAGAGCAAATGGTGAAGAAGATGAAAAGGCCTGGGAAAGAAATCCAAGAATTCCAGCATCCGGAAGCAGGCGGTGGAGAGAATTAAGAGCACATATATCAGACAGCATCAGCTACCTAGTCTGAAAGACAGTGGAAGACCTTGTCCCTTTCCTCCTGGAGGCGGAAGCCAAGGTTTTAGCTGAGTTTATTGCTACACAGAATAAAAAGTTATATTTCCTATACTCTCTTGCTGCTAGGTGTAGTCAAGTGACTAAATGTGGTCCAAGGAAATGAGAGTAGAAGCATTGTGTATGTCTTCCAAAAAAGGCTGCTTAATGGCAGTTGACTCGGGTGGGAGGGGTCCATTTTTGTCCCTGTCTTTTTTCCTTCTTCCAGCCTGCAACTTGGAGGTGACAGCTGGAGCTTCAGCAGCTATTTTGGACCATGAGGTTACCCTGAGGATGGAAGCCATATGTGAAGATGATGAAAAGAAAGAGAGGAAGCTGGATTCCTACTGCCACTCTGGAGCAACCACACTAGCCTGAAACTGCTTCTTCTGGGCATCTTTTCTATGCCGGGAAAAAGAAACTTCTATGTTGTTAAGCCACTGTTGCTTGGGAATTTTCCATGTGCAACCAAACAGATACAATAACAAATGGGAGAAAAAGTCACAGGGGTTTCAAGCAGACAATAGGCCACTCAATAAAGAACAAGATTCCTTTTTAGAATATTTTTTTAAAGACAGTAGGAATCTGTATTTAAGGGAGGCTACTACAATGGAGTTTTGAAGTAGGGGACAGAGATCCGGGTTCACTCCCAAAATTCCTTTTAATAGACCCATACCCAGTTCTCACTGGTAAATTTTCCATCTTGCAAGAATTCGAGGACAAGCCTAGAAATGTTTCTAGAAGAAAACATATAGGATACTTCGAATGGAACAAGGGTCAGATTGGCAAGAGATTTCACGTGGGAGACCCTGAACTTTAAATCGAGGTCTTGAAAATACCAACGGAAAATATGTTTAAACCTAGAATCACAAAATGCCAAGTTTTCTTTGACATTTAAAGGACACAAAAAATGTTTGCTACGTAAGGACAAAGAAAGTTTTTCAGATCTTTTCTGAAAAAGAAATAGTCGAAGTTAGATTTCAGGAAGAAACATCCAAGAAAGGCTGAAATATTGAGGCAAAGAAACCAACACTTATAGGTAAGTAAAGAAGAATATTGAACTAAAACTCAGATGATTTTAACAAGAGAGTTGGCCATGAGGCTGGGGTGGAGAGTGGAGGAGAACTGAAAACTTGCTGAAGATCTCCTCTTGTTTTGGAAGGCATATATGTGCTAAATAAATCCAAATGCTGGTGGCCTCCCAAAGTGCTGGGATTGCAGGCATGATCCACACGCCCAGCGCAGAAAATATAAATTCAATACATTTTAAATACAGTTTAAAAAATATATTATTATTATTTTTGAGATAGAATCTCACTCTATCACCCAGGCTGGAGTGCAATGGTGTGATCTCAGCTCACTGCAATCTCTGCCTCCTGGGTTCAAGCGATTCTCGTGACTTAGCCTCCCGAGTAGCTGGGACTACAGGCGTGCGCCACCGCACCCGGATTTTTTTTTGTATCTTTAGTAGAGACAGGGTTTCATCATGTTGGCCATGCTGGTGTCAAACTCCTGGCCTCAAATGATCTGCCTACCTTGGCCTCCCAAAGTGCTGGGATTACAGGCATGGGCCACTACGCCTGGCCTTGGCAAACTGATCTAAATTCTAACAAGCCAAAGATGAGAGACTTGCTCCATTCGCTAGAAAAGTAATACAGAATGTGGTGGTAGCCAAATGGAACAGAAAACAATAAGGAAAATAACCAGCTGCATATAGAATCTTAGGAAGTAAGAGGGGCATTTCAAGTCACTGAGGAGAGGAGAAACCACACACTCATAATTAGCAATGTTGAGACAATTAAGACGGTAATTATTTTTAAAAGTTACTTTACACATTATTTATCGCTCTAAATTCTAGCTGGACTATAAATCTAAAAGTCAAAACCAAAATAATAAAACGATTGTAACTCTTTCTATAATCTTAGAGATTGAACAAGACGACAAAACCAGAAACCATAAACTAAAAAGTAATGACAGGCTTGACTTAACAATGAAAACATTTTTATATGACATAAGACTTACTTAAACATGGTAAAGAAAAAGATAAGTGATAACCTGGGAGAATACATTTGAACACATAGAAATGGATTACTAATACACATAATAAATGAGTCACTCCAGAAGTTAAGATGTAAAAGACAGAGAACTCAACAGGTTAACAAAAGACTTCTCCACGTTCACCATAAATGAAATCCAAAAGACCAATCTACATATACAAAATGTACGATTTCACCCATTATCAGGGAAAGAAAAAAATCAAGTAACAATGAGAATTTTCATTCATAATATTGGACAAAATTAGAAGATTGATAATTTCTCTAATGGTAAATTGCCCCCTCCCCTTTTTTTTTGAGATAGAGTCTTGCTCTTTTGCTCCGGCTGGAGTGCAGTGGCATGATCTCAGCTCACTGTAACCTTCGCCTCCCGGGTTCAAGCAATTCTCCTGCCTCAGCCTTCCTAGCAGCTGAGACTACAGGTGCATGCCACCATGCCTGGCTAATTTTTATTTTAGTAGAGACAGTTTCACTGT